AGTTATGCCAGCTAAATTATCTTTTTCGCCTATTTTTTCCTTCTTCTCTATTTAATCAGAAGAGGCTGTATTGCATTCTCAAATAATAGAAATATTTTCCCTCCAAAGGTGTTAATCCCTCTTTTCTGTTGCATTTATATGATTATTTGATGCCTAAATGCACTAAATACTCTTATATTTTGATTTAGGTTGCAAATGGAAGAAAACAGTGGAGATTTGAGGAAATAAGGGAAAAATGACCAAAGTAAAGATAAGGAAAGTTCAGAGACCAAATCGCAAATATTCAAAAGATGATTTAAAGGGTAAAATGAAGATTTGAGAGTGTTAGGCATCAATTGGATGAGGAACGAAGCCAAATGGATGAAATATAGTCAAAGTATTATCACATATCAGCTCTCAGCCGAAAAAGTTCTGTTTCTAATTTTCAGTCTACGTTGGAGACCCATTTTTGGCATAGGAAATGTTCGAATTGGAAAAACTTATATTTCTGGACTATTTGTATTCCTTTATAAGGTAGCTTTCCAATGCATCTTGTATAACCTCAATTGAATATTGAGAGAGAAAGATATGACCAAAATACTGAAAGGTGTCTGATGAAAAAGTCTAAAGCTATGCGGTCGCATAGCTTTAACTTCAATACTGTTGCAAGTGTGGCTTTAGAGATTTTCAAGGTTGGTTTCAATCTTTCTATACTACCGTAAGCACTTATTCTATGCGGTCGCATAGAGTATTTTCGAGACGTAATTTTCTGGTTTCCTTCTACGGTTCAAATACTTATGGAAACAATTTCTTTCACGACTTTTAAGCTCTGATACACCCCAGAACGAACCGAACACCTCAATACACAACTTTTTCCTCCTTGGTGCTCAAGAAACTCCATGAAGAACTAAAACCCTTGGTGAAGTTAAGGAGGAACTCATTGGATTCGGTGATTTTACATCCTTTATTCATGTAATCTGGTTTTTATTTGTTGAATGCTTTTATAATTTAGATTTTCCTCTCAAAAATTTATCGTGAAATCGGCTTAACTCTTATTAGATTTGTCATGCATTCAGTTATGATTTTTTCATTGTTTAATTGAAAATTTTGTTGAGTTTCAATTTCATGAA